CCCCACAGCTCCCTTGCCATTAATGTCATCAGCACAAATTTCTCAGGGACAAATATCTATTTTTTTGTCATAACAATAGATATGCCATAACATATCTATTGTTTTGTCATGACCTGTGGGTGACTCAGGCCTCAGCCCCCCCAACTTGCCCAAACACCCCTGGGAGGGGTTTCAGCTCCCCTCTCACTCACCGCGTACTGGAACTTCTCGTTGTACTCCCGTGCGTTGGCTCGCACTCGCCGCTCCTCCTCTGCAACAGAGCGCCCCATCAGTCCTGTGCACCCTGACACCCCCTGAACCCTGACCGGCCCTGCATTCTGACACCCCCTGCACCCCAACCCTCCTTTCACCCTGACACCGCCTGCACCCCAACCACCCCTGCACCCTGAGAGCCTGCCAAGCCAGTCCCAGAGACCCAGAACCCAGGGAACAGAGAAGCTTCCCAGCTGTGGCCTATGCCAGGACCTGTACTCCTGCACCTGCAGAATCCCAGTGCTGCTTATCTGTACTCCCCACCAGCAAAACCTGCACCCCCAGGCCCCCCAGGCCTGCACTCCTAGACCTCTGCTTATTTGCGTCCCCAGAGCCCCAGATTCTGCACCCCCCCATGTCTTGTTTGTTTGCTCCTCCAGCTCGGCACCGCCGGGGTGACAAGACCCTTCCAGCCCTGCACCCCCAGGATGCATCTCTGCACCCCCAGCCCTGCTCATCTGCAACCTCACAACCTCAGTTTAGAACATCCAGATTCTGTACCCCTAGACCGCATCTCTGCTCTCCCAGACACCCAGACCTGCTCAGCTGCACCTCTGGATCCACAGCCCTGCACCCCTAGCCCCCCAGATTCCGCATCCCCAGACCTGCCCAGTCCTGCTTGGCCGCATCCCTGCACTCCCATCCCTGCACCCCCGGCCCCCACTTCTGCTCCTCCGCCGTGCCCCCGCCGCACCCACCCGGCCCGCCGCGGACGCGAACCCGCGTCCACTTCTCGGGCATCTCCCGGGGCACCGTCATGGCCCGGCCCCGGCCCGGCCCGGCCCGCGCTGCCGCTGCCGGCCCGGGCCCACCCCGCCGCGTTACCGGGGCAACGGCCACACCGGGGCCTACTGGGGCCCGACTGGGCCCCGCCGCGGCCTCCCCGGGCCCCACCGCGCCCCCGGCCCCGCTCACCCGGGGCCCGGCGGGCCGCGCACCGCTCCATGTCCCGCGGCCCCGCAGCCCATGGGGAGCGGGCGGGCGGGCCGGGCCGGGCCGGGGCCGGTTCCGCTGCCGCCGCTTCAGCTCCCCATGGCCGCGGCGGCGCCGGGCGGCGGCGGAAGTGCGGGGTGTGGGCGCGGGGGAGCGGCCGAGCGCGGCCCCGGAGGGTCCCGGAGCTCAACCCCGCGGGTGCCCCGGCCGGCGGGGCGGCTCCGGGGGGCCCGGGAAGCCGGGTGGGTCCCGGAGGGCCAGAGGCAGCCACAGGGGATACCAGGGCGCAGTCCCGGGTCCCGGTGGGACACTCCCCCCACTACCAGCGTGTCACCCAGGCTGAGGTCTCTCTGCAGCCAGGCCTGGCTGGCCTGCCCCCCGCGGGGGGCTTGGAGCCGCTGCCTCCCCCATACCCCTGCACACCCACGTCTAGAGACGAGATGCCGCATGACCTCAGGACTCGTTTAATAGTGTGAGGGGGATGGTAGTGGGGACTGTGCTGCTGCTGCGGGGTGGTGGGGGGTACCCGGTAGGCACTGTTCCCCCAGTGTCCTCCTTGGATGACACCCCAGTGTCTAGGTCAATGTTTTTGTTCTCCAGGATGATGGAGCCCTGCTCTTCCAGGGCATCGCCGTCCTCCTCCGGGTAATGGAAAGCCACGAAGAGCTGGTACAGGTATGTGCCCACGGCGGACCCCAGCAGCGGTGCCACCAGGGGCACCCACCACCACCCATTGCCCCTGCTGGGGAGGAAGCAGGGTGAGCAGGGGGTCACCTCTGCCACCCCCACCTCACCCCCTTCCCTCTACCTACCTGAAGACCTCTGGGCCCCAGCCTGCCAGGTAGGTGAAGAGCCGGGGCCCGATGTCCCGTGTGGGGTTCAGGGGGCAGCCGCAGTTGGCGCCCATGGAGACTTCAATGGAGAGCACCAGCATGGCTATGATCACTGGGTCTAGGCCCTCGGGGACACCCTTGTTGCGGTTGTCCATGATACCCATGACGCCCGTTAGCAGCACCCCCGTGCCAATCACCTGCAGGGTGACATGGCAGCTCAGCACCACGGGGACCGGCACCATTGGAGAGGGCTGGGGGAGCTGACAGTGGCACCCACCTGGTCCACGAAGCCGTTGGCGAGAGACACGTTGTCAGCTGGGTAGGTGGCAAAGATGGAGGCAGTTTCCCGGGGGCCGGACACGGTAAGGGTGCCATTGCTGTAGTGCCAGATGGCATCTGTGGGGCAGAGGCAGAGCCTGTCTGTGAGCCTGGCCAGCCTGGCACCGCCGTGGGGTTCCCCAGCCCGGTGCTGCCCTCCCATACCGTAGTAGAGGACGTAGACAACTCCGGCAGATAGGAAAGATGCCAAGGCCTCCACGAGCACGAAGATGGGAAACTTCCACCAGGGGAACTTCTTCGTCAGGCACATGGCGAGGGTGAACGACGGGTTCATGTGGGCCCCTACAACCAAGCAGGGAGAGGGGCTAAGAGGAAGGGGTCCTGGGGGACTCAGAGCTGGGGGATGGCAGGAGCTCGTACCCCCTCCTCAGCCTCACCTGAGATTCCTCCTCCTATGTAGATGCCCACCATGACAGCCAGGGCACCTGCCAAGTAGCTGGTGAGGATGTCCCCCTTTGTCTCTTCGCTGGTGACCCTCTGTGCGGCGCCGGCCAGGGTGATTGTCTGGAGAAGACGGACGTGCCCATCTCAGCCCCACCAGCCCTGTGCTGAGACACCGCCTCCACTGACAGCACAGGGCAGCGAGGCGAGGGCTGTGCCGGTGCCGCCTCTGTGGTTTTGCTCCCCGTCCTTGGACATCGGACAGGCACTGGCAGGGAGGCGCTTACTGCTCTCACTTGTGGTTTTGACAGCAAAGCAATCAAATTATTAGCAATTAAGTGAACTGCTTCCCTGGGGAGGTGGTGGGGACGAAGTGCTACGGCACAGCCATGGGGACACCATTTGCCATCGTGGGATGTAGCCCAAATGCCAGGAGCAGCTCCAGAGCCCCAACCTCTGCCTACTCCAAGGCAGGAGGAATTGTGGCACGTGCTGCCCGGTGCCACACCCTGATTGCAGCGGAGCCGCGGCACAGGGCGGGCCATGCCACGGGAACAGGGTCCAAGTGGAAGGACAGGCAGTGCTGAGTCGCACATTCGAGAGTGGCGCAGCGCCAAACACCCCCCACCCCAGCAAGGGGCAGGCAGTGGAGCCCTGGGACGCCTGGCACCTGCCAGCACCCCACCGTCAGCCCCATCCTACCCACATGACCCCCGCATCAGCCCTAGCCCACCCGTTTGCCCCCCACAGCCAAGCCCAGCCCTGCTCACAATGAGGACAAAGGTGCAGAGCAGCTCAGCCAGGCATTCCCGTATCAGCCGGTTCCGAATTCGGAGCAGACGCCGGACCCTTGTCAAGAAGGAAGCAGAGCCCATGGTGCCAGCTTGGAAGGGGCAGCTGTGACAGCGGTGGCAGCAGTGACAGTAGTGCCTCAATCCCAATGGATTTTATGAGCTCTGGGGCCAGGTGGGTGATAATGTGTAGACTTTAAACCAATCAGGGCCACGCCGAGGGAGACACCTGGCAGGGACCGGAGTCCCACGTGGGGCTGGGGAACCTTGGGACACCTCGTGACAGTGCTGCACCTCAGTAGGGCCAGGTCAGATCCCCAACCAGCCACGGGGAGCCCTGACCTCACTCAGGTGAGTGGGCACAGGCGTTTCCCAGCCAGGAGCCCCCTTCTCCCGCCACATCCTTGCCCAAGCTGCAGCTGCAGTCAGTGCTAATGAAGAGGCCCTGGCTCAGCACCAGGCAGTGAAATAGGAGAGGGAGGTGAGCAGGGAGCAGCGCAGGCACAGGAGTCTGGCAACCACCTGCATCCCTCAGGCAGCCCCCCAAGAGCCACCCTGGCAGCCAGGGCAAATCTGCTTCCAGACCCATGAGATTCCAGCCTGAAGGAGCAGAGCAGGTCACTGTTTAGCATAAATAGACTTTATTGCTCTGTACACACGTGCGCATTTGGCCCCCACGGGGGTTTCTGTGGCTCCACAGCACTCCTGAAGGAAGGCAGCCCCCAGGCCAGGTGCCAACTCCCAGGAGGATCTGACCCACCTACAACAAAACCAGGTGGTGAGAAGATGTTGCTGCCCAGTGTCCACTTCAACAGCCCCAGCCCCTGAGCCGTCCCCACGACCCTGGGGAGCCCCGGGGTCCGTCCCCCCTGCACATGTCAGACGTACTGGGTGCTCAGCCAGGGCCGGGCACAGCTACCAGCTGGAGAACCAGTGTCGGAGGAAGCCGCTCAGGACAGAGGACGGGTCGCTCGGATTGGGAGGGCGGAGCTCGTCCCGTCGCGGCCACGAGCCTGCAAACTGCGCCAGCTCCCCTGGAGAGGCAGGGAGAGCCCCCTCAGCCGGGCGCCTCCCGCCCCCCGCGCCCTCCCCCGCCCCCCACTCACGGTCGTCCATGTTGAGCACCTCCTCCCGGTAGTCCTTGCCCTGCCCGTCCTCCTTGGTGGTGGTGATGAAGGCCTGGTCCCCCCTCCGGCGCGTCACCGTGGTCTCCCGGCGGCCCTGGCTGTCCTGCACGGTGCGGCGCTCCTCCACTGCCTGCACGAAGTGCCGAGCCCTCAGAACCCCCGACCCCGACCCCCTTCAGGCACCCGCGGAGACACTCACCCCGTCAGGCAGAGTCACTTTGGTGACAGAGACGCTCTGGAAGTAGGAGCCGGACTTGGGCTCGTCGGGTCTCAGGATGGTCCCCAGCCCCGCGGAGAAGACCTGGGAGTCCAAGTCTGAGGGGAGATGTGACACGGTGGCCGCGTGTGTGGGGACACGCCCCGGCGGCCGCGGCAGCGCAGAGACCCCCGGGCCCCACTCCCAGCACACACCTTGGTCTTCCTTGAGGCCGGGAGGAGCCGGGCGAGCATCTTCCAGCTGCAAGGCAAAGCCACGCGCCGGTGACGCGGGAAGCAAACCAGGGCAACACCAGAGCAACACCACGACAAGCACCGAGCGGCACCGGCAGGGTGCGACGGCTGCCACGGCGGAGGAGGACCCCAAACCCCTCACCCACCCCCAGGGAGGGTCTCCAGGGCCGGGCCGGGTTTCTGGCGCCCTCGGGACCCGCCGGGGCCGCGCTGGCGGGGGGGCTGTCCGGATGTTTCAGCATCGAGTCCCGCAGCGGCCGCCCCTCGCCGGGGCCGGGCAGGGCGGGCGCTGCGGAGCAGGGGGAGGTCGGTCAGGACGAGGGGCTCCGAGCGGCCCCCACAGCCCCGCTGAGCCGTGGCCCCCCCCGTGCCCACCGAAGAGCTGCGGGGGCCCGGCCCAGGCCCCCCCGAGGGCCCCCAGGAGCTCGCCCATGTCCCGGAACAGCTCCTCGAAGGTTCCGTGGGACGCGCCGGGGCTGAATCCGAAGCCGAAGTCCTGTGGGGGCTGCGCCAGGCACGGGCCGTCATCCTCCTCCTCCTCGTCCCACGCCGCGCCGCCGAAGAGCGGGTCCCGGGGCCTGCGGGAGCGCGGCACTGAGACACTGGGACGGGGGCTGTGCGGGCAGGGCCGGGCGAGCTTGCGGTACCTGCGCCGCCCCGGGAACCCGAAGAAGCCGCGAAAGGCGTCGTAGAAGCTCATCCCGCTCCCGGGCCCTCCCGCTGCCCCAGGCCCCGGGGTCGGGCGGCCGCAAAGCGCCGCGGCCGCAAAGCGCCGCCGGGTGTCGTGAGGCGCTTTGCGGGGCTGGTCCCGTGTCTCCCCGGCCGGGCCCGGGGGCAGCGGGGGCTTCATCCTGCACCCCTGGCGTCCTGCGGCCCTGCACTGTGCCCCCAGCTGAGCTCCGCTGGCCCAGCCCAATGCCCTCCTGCTGCCCCACTGGGACCCGCAGCACGGGGAGCTCCGGTTTTGCCTCGGTCCCCCCACCCCCACCCTGAGCCCTCGGCTCCTTAACCATGCAGCTCAGCAGCCACTGCCGGGACACCCGGCCCTTCCTGCCACCCTCATGGTCCCACTGCCCTCCCCAGCGCCCGAGACTCCGCTCCGTGACAGCCGAGCCTGTCCCGAGCCCCTCCTGGGGACATGGGGGCTGGGGTGGAGCCCCCAAGCTCCGAGAGGAGCAGTGGAAGAGAAAAAGTGGAAGGTGGGAATCTCGGGGAGAAGGACTCTGTCCCTATGCTGGGATCCTGCTGCTGCCCAGAGCTGCAGCCGGGAAAAAATCCACAAAACGAGGGGACAAAAAAACCCCACAAACCAGCAAGACGGTGGGGAGAGGTAGGGGAAGCGTTGCCACCCCCGCCCATCCAGGGCCTCCCACCCCCTGCACCAAAAATAGGGAACCAGGCTGAAAGGTGGAAAAAATACACACATCACTTTGTGATCTTTATTCTCTTCAGTAAATCCCTGCTTGGGACTGCAGCTGAAGGGACCAGGTGGAACCAAAAAATACAAGATCTGGACTGCATAGAAAAAAAAAAAAAAAAAAAAAAAACCAACCCCAAAAGCAGAAGATACTTACAGCGTGCAAGGGGAGCAGGACCTGCACTCAGGGCCCGTGAGGAGGGGGGGG